TTTTTTGTTTTTTGTTTTTTACCCACAGGTACAGATGACGACTGACAGAACCCTTTCTACGATGGAACTTTCCTGTACGACTGAGAGCCTCCACAAGCGACAGCCGCATTTGATATCAGTAAGCGTATAGCACCAATTATTTTCTGTTAGCATATTAATAACGTTTCAGGAAAGCATTATTATTTGTTTTTATTCTGTATATATTTAAACTTTTTTTGGGGGGGTTGTTTTCTGGGGAAGCCAACTCACGTTTATTTTGTGGATTTTTTTTTCGTGGAAAACGCACGTTAGCGTGTTTTTTGGAGGGGGGTAGAATTTTTGTTGTTTGAAAACAACAACGACGACGACAAATCAACGCATTTCAATTGCAGTCAATTATACTCGGATTTCGCTATTCGCAGGCCGGCCGGCCGCTATCCCTCCCGAACACCGGAGGCCTACTGAAAATCAGTGATACTGTACATTGAACAGACCTCGAAAGAGACAAGCGCGCCCCCTAGTGGCATCTATGTACCTCACACTCGGAGCGTCCAAGCGCCATCATCCTCCTCTTCGTCACCTCCTCTTCGTCGTCGTCCTGCAATCTCTCCGGTGTTGCTCTCCAGGCGCATCCTCCTCCTTGCCGCCCCCTCCCCGCCAGACTACAAGCTGCTGCACTCGCGGACACAACAGCAGAGAGAGAGGAGACATTTCCATTTAATTGTCGTCATTATTGTACATATTTAGGGTGGTGGGGGGGAGGCTCACGCGATGGCTAAACACCGCAAAGACAGAGACAGCTGGGGTGAGTGTACGTGCCAACATCTATTTTTTTTATTCATCTTTTTTATTTTTTTTAATGGGTGTTAACAGCGCGGCCTCCTGCTCGACATAACAGTGCGTGGGGCTTATTTTTGCTCCATATCAAACGATTATTAATGGCAAAGATGGTAAAGGACAAAAATGATGAGAAATGATACCTAATTGTTGCCTTTAAGGATTTGAGTTTTTTTTTTCAGTGTTGTAATTATGTAATCGTGCATCACGAGACGGCAAGAAGTCACCTTCAAGAGGCCCGTTGTATTTTGTGTAATATATTGTATGTTTTAAAAGAATGTTGATTTTGCCTATATGGGAAGTAATAAAGGGAGTGACCCAGTTGGATGTGTCCGGCTGGGATAAGATGCAGCAGTGATGGCAACGCCTGGGCGAGGCATTTTTGCAGACATTTTTATGTTCAATATTTATAAGTGAAAATATCATGCAAAACCATTAAAAAAAAGGATAGAAATGTTTATGATACAAAAATAGCACATGTGGGTTAATTCTGCAATTGTGTTTGTTTTCAAGAGGGCGTTTTCTAGAAATAAAATTGTAGCTCCACTTACAAGTGACCCAACTTATAAGTTATCGAGACAGGTGTCGTTCTTTTATTGATTTTTATTTGGGTGGGGGCGGGGGGGGGTGCACTAAATGGTAACATGAGTAACTTCACACTAAAGCAGATACTGAACAATTCTTGCCTTGAGAAGTTTATTGCCACTGTACGGAAGCATAAAACTGCCAATGTGGAGGAAATATTTTTGACCGGCAAACTGTTCAAACGTATTTGAATGCGCATTGGAAGGTTTTTGGAAATAAGTTTGAATGTACTTGTAGCCTCAATGCTAAAAATCATATATTTTTTTTCTATAATGCTTGCACATACCATGTGGCATGATGGGGAAAAAACAAATCAGAATCGAAATCATGCACCGCAGACATAAAAATAAAAATGACAAATAAACAATGTAAACTTAGGCCGTTTCAATTCTGAACACGTTGCTATAATGTGGGACAAATGTAGATATGCTCCTATGACCAAAAACAACAACGGCTTTTTTTTTTTCCAGGGTCCCTGGGCGACAAGAATGTGTACGATTGGAGCTCGGAGGACGAAGAGTCGGATGGGCGGGCGCGGCCCATCCAGGTGCTGCTGGTGAAGGACGATCACACCTTTGAGCTGGACGAGGTGGCGCTGAGTCGCATCCTGCTGGCTGAGGAGGTGCGCGACCGCGAGGTGGTGGCCATCTCGGTGGCGGGGGCCTTCCGCAAGGGCAAGTCCTTCCTCATGGACTTCATGCTGCGATACATGTACAACCACGTAGGTACCCCGGCCAAAAACGCGGCCACTCTCATGTTCGTTTTGTGTGTGTGTGTGTGTGTGTGTGTGTGTGTGTGTTTGCCAGAGTGCCTAAGGGCTCAGTTTGCGACCGTCACGGCTCACCCGTTTACTGGGTTTAGTCACGTGACGCTCGCAGGTTTGGCCCATGGGCACTGTGATGTCAATTTCAGCTGACAGCCAGTGGCAATGCAGGATAAAATGGCCGCCCCCTGAGATGGATACAAATGGGTGGATTTTGCTGCATTATTCATATTTCACAAATGCAATATTAATCAGAAAACTGTGTTTAGACTAACGGGGGTGCATAGATCTTCTATCCTTGCGACTGTACACAACTGCAGACGACAAGCTCTGGAACACTTATAAAGTCATTTTTCACTCCAGGGGTCTGACGACTGGCTGGGCGCGCGGAGCGGGAGACTACCGGCATCCAGATCTGGAGTGAGGTCTTCCTGGTGGACCGGCCTGACGGGACCAAGGTGGAGTCTGCTTTGACTGTTGTGTGGGTAGAGTAGCCAGAAATTGTACTCAAGTAATAGTAGTGTTACTTCCGAATAGGACTCAAGTCTTTAGTTGCACTAAATCTATACGGGTAAGTACAATTTATTCAGTCCAACGAAGTGATTCTCAAACTATTTACACAGAGTGCTTCGTACCACCTTAAAAAGCACTTGGCTTTCCAAGTATCACCATAATGAGCAACATTAAATTACAGTTGCGTAGTGTGCACAAAGCTTCTTTTACAACATGACCTAAATACTCCGAGATGTACTCAAATACTCCCTACAAGTCACCTAAACACTTTTATATCTACTAAATTACTCCCTAAAAGTTCCGTAAATACAACAAATTGGGGCTGAATTTGATCAATTGATCAAATTGAAATCTCAAGGTAGTACAACACAATTTTCAAACAAAACAAAATCAACTTCATTTCAGTTGGTTGTTTGGCAGACTTCCTTTTTCATATTTCATACTTCAAGTGTGTGTGTGTGTGTGTGTGTGTGTGTGTGTGTGTCTGTTTGGTGTGACACAGGTGGCAGTGCTGCTGATGGACACACAGGGCACCTTTGACAGCCAGTCCACGCTGCGCGACTCAGCCACCGTGTTCGCTCTGAGCACCATGATCAGCTCCATGCAGGTACTAGAAATACATCCTCTGACAAATCATTGCTTGGTGATGAAATGCTCCATCTACCTGACAACTGTTTAAAATTGTTAAAAAAAAAATATATATATCCTTCAAAGCTACTTTTTTCAAAACATTATTATGAAATGCAGGTTTACAACATCTCCCAGAACGTCCAAGAAGATGACCTTCAACATTTGCAGGTAAATATTGAAAATGCTCAGATCATGTCTTTCAGCTCGGTGAAGCAGCATGTGGATCAAGGTTATCTTTGTACATTGTGTTATGGTCTAAGAATTGGATCATTATGATCATGAGGTGACTCAATATTTGTTCAAGAGACAACAGATTAGGCTCAAGATAGGATTCCAGTCATGGCCTTAGTCATGGGGTGTGTATTTTAGAGGTGCAACGATTAATCGATTATTAATCGATTAGATCATGAGGATCATTAGAATAGGCTTGGATCCTATTTGGCAGATGGAAGTTTTTGTGTTAGCCTTGGTTGCTCTGAGTCTGGCTCTGCCCCACTGTCACATGGTGTTCCACAGAGTTCAATTTTGGTGCCCCTGTTGTTTTCATTGTATCTGCTGCCCCTGGGTTCCATCTTAAGAAAACATGGTATTTCATTACACTGCTATGCGGAAGACAGATCTATGTCTCTCTGAGGAAAAAATAAAAAGGATGCTGGTGCTGTTGTTAAATCCAGCTTTTTCGTTTTAGGCAGCTGGCTAGGGTAAATCCTCTCCTTTCTCAATAGCACTATCATTGCTCTGTCGAAATGCATCAACACATCCTCATTTTTTTAAAATTAAAATTAATGGACAAGAAAATATTTTACAGATTTAAAAATGACAACCAGAGAGAAAGTCACAAATTGTGCCAGATGGATGGATTTATTGATAAACGTGATCAAAACATGTCTGTCTTACAATTTTACTCTGCAGCTATTCACAGAGTATGGCCGACTTGCAATGGAGGAGACCTTCCTTAAACCGTTTCAGGTACGTTGCCTTCTTTTCTTTTGATCATGAAATATGACTGTATTGTGTTTATATTTCTAAACTGTTACATGTGTTCCTTTGTGAATCTGACCTTCATCTTTTGGTATTTCCCAGTCCATGATTTTCCTCATCCGAGACTGGAGCTTCCCGTATGAGTTTCCATACGGGCAGGAAGGCGGCATGAAATTCCTGGAAAAGAGGCTCAAGGTCAGTGTAGGTGAAGGATGTGAGTTTCCAGACAACTGTTGAAAGCGACTTCATTCTTTAACCTCACTTCTAAATCATGCGTGTAGATCTCAGAGAACCAGCACGAGGAGCTGCAGAACGTGCGCAAACACATCCACTCGTGCTTCACCAACATCTCCAGCTTCTTGATGCCTCACCCCGGCCTTAAGGTGGCCACCAATCCGCACTTTGACGGACGGATCAAAGGTAGCCAAAGAGCCCCCAACAAGTTGTCATTCGCCAACTACTCACATCTTTTTCCCCCTCATTGAATCTAACCATCGTCGTCGCACTGAATGACTAAATCTACCTGCGGCGTTCCGTAACGCCGCAAGAGGTTGCCAAAATGCCATTGGCCTTCTGAGGTGCCATGTTAGCAGAGTAGTAACTAGCGTTAGCCGCCAGCTGATCGTAGACCATCTTGACAGACAACAGCAGCCTCATGGAAGATACCAAACATTTTCTAAAATGGCTTCCACAAACGCAATGTTGGGAGGTTTGGGTCTCAGTCTGCCCTCAAGCAGTCCCGCAATTGTGTCTGTACGACTATTTACGACATCCAATTGATTTATCATCCTGACCCACAGATTCCACTGGATTCATTGAGAATTTTGTTTTCTCCATCGTTTCATTTCAGTTTAGCCACTCAGAAGTACCTGGCGACCACTCTTGCCAAAATTTCTGAAATGGCCTCTTGATCATTTCAGAGATCGACGGCGAGTTCATCAGCAACTTGAAGATTCTGGTGCCCTGGCTCCTGAGTCCTGGCAACATTGACGTGAAGGAAATCAATGGCAGTAAGATCACCTGCAGAGGCCTGCTCGAGTACTTCAAGGTTGGGAATACTGCCGTATTTCAAAATTTCCGCCGTTTTTTTGGATTTTTTTCTTAACGCTTTTGTTCTTGTGTTTGTGCTCCAGGCTTACATCAAGATTTACCAGGGAGAGGAGCTGCCTCATCCCAAATCCATGCTCCAGGTAACATGGCATGAAGAGACCCACTCAGAAGTCTCAAGTCGTCATCCAACATCGAGTCTGCCATTTTGATCAGAAGAAATGACCACTTTTTGGTCCTTCGATAAGAGTTTGTCAAATTGGAAGCATGTATACTTGGACAGATGGCCGACGCTAAATGTGGAAATATTTGAGTTGATGACTCGCCATGAAACCAAAACCTCTAATAATAGGTTTCAACGAGGCAAATTTCACTTCGCGGCATGAAACTTGGAAGATGACAATCAGATGATGTATGGCTGGCCGGAGGGATGGACAAACAGACATATGGATGACGGACTGATGCGTGCATGGATGGATGGATGATGTGAAAGCGGTTGGATGAATAAATGGACAGTAGGAGTGGATGAACAGATGGATGAGAGACTGATGGGAGGACAAACGGACAGATGGAGAAATTTGTGGTTGCATGGATGGACAAATGGCTCTTTAGACAAATGGACGATGAGGGGTTGGAAGGACTGATGATGGAATGAAGGAGGGACGATGAACTAATAATGTGGTTTTTGTCAGGCCACGGCCGAGGCCAACAACCTGGCGGCGGTGGCCGCGGCCAAGGATCTGTACAACAAGAAAATGGAAGAGGTGTGTCCGCCGTAAGACGCGCGCCTCGTTGTTTATCGCCACTAACCTCCCCCGCTCTACCCCCCTCCCGTCAGGTGTGCGGCGGCGACCGCCCGTTCCTGGCGCCCAGTGAGCTGCAGGCGCGCCATGCCGTCATCCGCGAGGAGGCTCTGGCGCTGTTCCGCGGCGTGAAGAAGATGGGCGGCGAGGAGTTCAGTCGGCGTTACCTGCAGCAGCTGGCCGGCGAGGTGGACCAGGTCTTCGTCCAGTACATCAAGCACAATGACTCCAAAAACATTTTCCACGCCGCCCGCACGCCCGCCACCCTCTTTGTGGTCATCTTCGTCATGTACGTGGCGGCGGGTGTGACGGGCTTCGTGGGTGTGGACGTCATCGCCAGCTTGTGCAACATGATCCTGGGTCTGGCCCTCATCACGCTCTGCACCTGGGCCTACATACGCTACTCGGGGGAGTACAGAGAGCTGGGGGCCGTCATCGACCAAGTGGCCGGGGCGCTTTGGGATCAGGTTGGTCACAACGTATGTCTTTCCGTATTTTTAACTTCTGACTGTTCATTCGTTTGTCCGGCCTCGGTCTCTCCATCCATCAGCGCATGCGTTTTTCCATCTATCCATTTGTTTTGCCACCCAGTTTTCGTCCATAATCCACACACTCTAAAAATAATGCAATTATGTGTCCAAAAGGAAACGACCTCTCATTGGTCAATTTGACCTACTTTTTTTTTTTAATGTACAAAACAACCCCCAAAAAATGTGAAGGTTTTCGACAAGAACCCCCGCAAATTGGATCAAATTGAGCCAAGTATGTTGGTCTGTTTTTGATCCATATTTGGATTGTTTTTCAAGCAATATTTTGGATGCCACACACTAAACCAGTTTAAAAAATAACTCACAGGTTAAAAAAAAAAAAAATAAACACATTAGGTCAAAAAGGGCAGCCTGGTGGACGAATGGTTAGTGCGTTGACCTCACGGTGTAGAGGTCGTGGGTTTCGATTCCAGTTCCAGCCTCCCTGTGTGGAGTTTGCATGTTCTCCCGGCCTGCATGGGTTTTCTCCGGGTACTCCGGTTTCCTCCCACATTCCAAAAACATGCATGGCAGGCTGATTGAACGCTCAAAATTGTCCCTAGGTTTGAGCGTGAGCACGGATCGTTGTTAGTCTCTGTGTGCCCTGCGATTGGCTGGCAACCGGTTCAGGGTGTCCCCTGCCTACTGCCCGAAGACAGCTGGGATAGGCTCCAGCATGAGGATAAAGCGGATTTGAAAATGGATGGATTGATGGATGGGTCAAAAAGGGACCGACCCAAAAAGTTAAATTCTCGGTTTTTTTTTTGGGGTTCATTTTCGTTAACCTTGTTTTCATCATCCTTACATCGGTTCTTCCACCCATCACCGTTCAATTGATCTATATTGACATCCACTCATCCATCAGGTGGTCCACTCATACATCCATCAATCCCTCCCGTCTGCCCAAATACATTGAGAATTCAAGTGAGAAAAAAACCATCACAAAATTTGTACTCACCCATACAAGGCCAGCATTTGCAATGCAGTTAAACAGACACCAGAGGGCAGCAATACTCTTATGAAATTCGAACATTGTACTGATTTTTCTTGACTCACCATGTGTTTTCCCGTTGATGCCTCCGCAGGGGAGCACGAATGAGGTAAGACTGTCTCCACGCATCCTTCGCTGTGACGTTTTTCAGTTTCCTGCGTGACCACTTTGTGACTCCCGCTGTCCACTTCAACGCAGGCGCTCCACAAGCTGTACAACGTAGCGGCCAATCACAGGCACCTGTACCAGCACGCCTTCCCTGGCCATCAGGCCGACGACGTTGGGGCGGCGGCGGCGGCGGGCGAGGAGCGCGACAAGAAGCGGGACTGACCGTCTTCTTTTAATCCCGCTCAGCACGGACTTGTACACTGCTCATGTATACGACGAGCGTCTTCATCACTCAGCAGCTGTCAATCACCAATCGGGCGGGGGAGGTAGTCGCCGCGTGGCATATGGCGAGCCACTTGAGTGTTTGTGATATCCTACCAGGGCACCAGTAGAACAACCAGGGCGCAGTACTGAAATAAGAGCCTTGCTAGTTACGTTTCCTTCCAAATGTGACTGACTGGTGAGGGGAAAACTGTGACCGAGCAGACAACTGCGTGTTTCAAAGTGACGAGTGACAACATTCTAGGAGTTAACATGTAGCGCTTCAGTCATGTTACTAGTATTTAGTGAGGACAAACAGCGCACTAGTAGGTTCTCAAATACGCTCAAAACGGCTCGTCACACGGGGGAAATCAAGTGTCTTGTTTTTTTTTTTTCTGTTTGGTCAAAGTACGCTAAACAATGCAGGCGAGTCACTTCACGCGGGACACTTGCGCCCGCTATATAAATCAGGATGTATTGTATTGTATGTTCACTTTTTTTTTTTGCCCCCGTGAGAGAATGATTTTAATTTGCCTACAAATACATTGTCGTTGTCATACTACGTCAATTTATGTTCAGAACATACTTTTTTTTTTTTAATTGAATTGAATCCACTTGGATGTTTTTTGAATTGATTCATACAATTAGTCAGATCGGCATTTTTTTTTTTATATAGGTTTAGGGCGTTTGCATCTATGCAAAAAGCTTCATTGTAGTTTTTATGTAATTTATGTTTTATGAAGTGATTTGTACTGTCCATGCAACAGGCCAAAATTGTATTGAAAAAATAATGTTCGGGTTTTCATACCTACAGTAACTTGTACATTTCTCAGATCCACCCTACCCCCCGCCCCATAAGATTTTTTTATTTTATTGGACAAACTTATGCATACACTGCTTTTCTTCTCCGATAGATTAAAAAAAAAAATCTTTTCACAGCGTTTGTCATGTTTTTTTATTGTTATTAGTGTCCGTGTGAGCATGACAGCAACAAGCTTATTGATTTTTTAAAACATCTATTCATATTTTATTGACTTGCACATGTTATATGTCGCAATATTATTTAACACAAATATGTATGGCTTTGCACACAGTGTCTTCATGTACATTTTTTTCCCCCTTACCTGTTTTTGTGTTAATTACAAATAATATATGTAGTTTTTAATTGTACAGCCTGCATCACATTATCATTATTTTAAATATATTTTTCTCCCAGAATGGTTTATTTGTTTCAGTGGAATTGCATATTTGTCAAATACTTGATTGGAAATTGGTTTTCTTTTCACTCAAGGTGACAAAATCGTACAGCGTGTCTATAATGTCTCCTTACAATCTGAACAAATGTATGAAATCAAAAGCATGAATAAACATTTTCTAAAATTTTAAAGAGACTTTGCAGACACCCTGTATGGTGCACCCAAACATGGAACGGTTTTGCGAACCACAAGAATAAACGCATAAATCATTGTTCACCAAAATAACGGAACGTCTGATACAACTCTTGTGCTTGAAGTCATTGGGATGCTCCGGTGTGCCTAATGTTTTGTCTGGCGAGCCCACTTACAAACTACATCAGTAACGCATGGTGTCGATGTTCTCTAATGTGTGTCATTAAGATCAGGTTTGAAACAAACACGTTAGAAGAGTGGTTTTTGTGAGATCTATGTATTATTTTGTTGGTTTATGTCGTTGTTGTGTCGGTTCAACATACTCAGGGCCCCAGTCTGCTCACACGATTTTTCAAATTTATTTATTTTGATAATTATAGAGGACACTAACAAGCCAAAATGTCCTCTTCAAACCAAAATGGCAGATGTGTGTGTCTTTTCAGGCTTGGTTTCTTTGGACTTTGGCAGGTCTACTCATGATAGACATGCTTAAATTTGGGTAATTTTCTCTCGGACTTTACCAAGCCAAAACATCCACTTCAACCCCAAATGGGAGTGTTTTTTTTTTTTTTTTTGTGGGTCTACCCCACGATAGAATTTTACCAGCAGGTAAGGCTTTCACCCCTGTGTCGCAAACTAGCATTTTGCGGCCATCGCGTTGGCCCTCAAAGCACCATTTGATGACTTGCATTCATAAAATATAATAAATCGATTCGGCGCTGCGCATTGTGTGAGGTGGAATGCGAGCTTGCAAACAACAATGGCATGGTAGAAAGCAGACTTGAAATTTTTATTTCGCCAGGTTCTACATAACCCGCAGTGCGACTCTAATGGGACTCTTGCTGTAGTAGTGTTATTTTGTGGCAAAACGCACAAAATGTCGTCATATCAGAGTCTCAAACATCCTTCTGGGATATTCAGTAACTGCTCATGCCTTTGCGAGAGGATTTACTTGGAAATTGTACGAAAAGTGAAGCCAAGCGGAGAGCCCAGGCCAGTAGGCCGCCACTAAGTAAACCAATCACAGTCCAATACTAAGGTGAGCTCAAACTGTTGACTGACTTTTTTTTGCTGCAACTTCGCCAAAATGAAAGCAAAAAAATTTTTGTCCAGCTTTGAGCTCTCAAGTATCGTTACTGATGCACAATTTTTCTATACGGCTTAGAATTAACCCGCTTTGTGCATAAAACAGGAAAAAAAAACATCCGTCTGTCAATGAATTAGAATAAGGTAGAAATGTTGATTCATTTCAGTAGTTTGATTGAAAAAGTGAAACGTATACAATTAGAAGCAGGCCAATTCTTAAGCAAATTCTTCATATGAAATCATTGTTTCCTCTGAAATTCCGAGAGATGGTGAATTTGGGGGTGTTGTGAGAAGAAAGCTGTAATCACCAAAATTCTGAACAACACAAATATACTAGTTAAATATTCCACCACGTGTGTAGTGAACCTTGACTTTTTTTGAACTGAACTACTGAAATTTAGCTTCCTATCAAATCCTAATTCATTAAGATCGATACTTCTTCCACTATCTACTAATTACAGCTTGTTGCCTTTTCGTACAAAATCAGACTAAATCCCCACAGGAATGGGCAGAACCTGCATACACGTTTTCAGATAAAAATATATTAAAATATGATATTTCAAAAATTTCTTGCTGGTAGCAAAGTGTACTGTTCCACCAGCAACGTATGGCTTTGAGACATTTCGGGATATAAAAAACAAACAAAAAAAAAAAAAAGGCGTAACAGTTAGCGTCCTGACAAAAAAAAAAAAAAAAAAAAAATTCCCCAAAGTCTTTTGCATGAAAAAGTTTTCCAAAAGTTCCAGTAGCTTATTATCTTCCCGAGGTGATGCTTATTTGTAATAAAGACGGGTTTCTTATCGACACTTAAATATTGCCCAAGTTTTGGTCGATTGTCTTTATAAAAAAGAAAAAAGTGGGGCAAAAAAGAGCCAAAAAAGGGTCTTCCTGCATGTCCGTGTTGCAAATGCTGAGTTTTGGTTCACTGTTTAAAGAGGCACAACGTTGTTTTGCCAGTCCTCCTACGTGGTAGCTTCTTCATCGGAGTGTTTCCAGAGTTTTTTTTTTTTTTTTTTTTTTTAAATATTTGGATCAAGAGGCAAAGGCACGCGAGGTGAAGACGGGCACGGAGGGTGGCGTGTTTTGGTCACATGAAGCTTTTGCCCGGTGACTGCTGGGCGTACCACTGCTGCCGCTGTTTGCGGGCCTCAACCTCGGAGAGCAGCGCCTGGCGGTACGCCTCGTACGACTTGACGATGTGCTCCAGTTCTTTCATGAAGAGCAGCTTCAGCATGCCCTGGTACGTGTCCAGGTCGGCCAGCTGAAAGAGCTCCCACTTCAGGATGTGGTCATACCTGGCGGAAGAACTCGGCTCAGGCGTGGCGCGGTTGGGAACGCGCCGAGGGACGCCCACTGTGGCGACACCGCCGATTGACTAGAATCTACACCGATCAATATGCTCGATACGGAAATTGTTGAGACTACAGTGAACCCCATGTCAAGCGTTAGCGCGCCCGTTTGTGACGTCACAGTTTTGCGCTAGCGTGTTATTTTGGCAAGTATGCTAATACGATTGATGAGCCTCGTGTGAAGGCGGCTAGTTTGTGTTGAATAATTCAACTGCAGAATGGTCATTTATGTAACACGGGTGAATGAATGTGTGCATTCTTGATCCATGGTGTTGAGGCTTTATGATCTTCTTCGTTAAAAACAAAAAAATGGTTGGAACAGAGCCTCGGTTCATGGATGCTATTGAACTAGTAGACTATCTCTAGTCATAAAAAGTTTGGGATATTGAGATTTTGGGTGAAATTTCAGGATGAATCTAAAATGCATTACTATGTGCACTAGTGAATTTAATTTGACCTTCTCTCAGCTTTTGAATGTCTAATTCAGGCGTCACTTACATGGTGCCCGTGGGCACTTGGCAGCCCTGAAGTACCACATTGAGTCGCTAATAAAAAGTCGGGCTTACTGTTATAAATATTCACCATGAAGTTTGCCGCAAAAGACATTCATTTGATCAGAATATTCATTCCTGCTTAAATTTTATACTGTTAATTATTTTGTGGGGTTTTTTTTCTTTAACTAGAATTCATTTTGGGTCTTTCATACTTTCAGTGTGTTATTTTATATTGGCCTTATGCTGTTGGGTAAAAAAATGTTTCTTTTTCCATCCATTTTCTCGCGAGTTTCTTCAGTGTTTTGTAACTGTCAGTTTTAAAACAACATGGGGAAAAAAATAATAACAAAATACAAATTCCTGTTTAAAGGTAAGTACTCACTTGAGGGGGGCACGGGCGTAGACCTGCAGCCAGTCCGGGATCTCAGCGGTGTGGTAGGGGTTTGCCGGCACCAGCACCGGCTGGTTCCTCTCGGCGGGCCGCGGCTGATAGGTAATAGGCGGAGGCGGCAGAGGCGGCGGCTGGTCGTAGCGGGGCACACTGCAACATAACGGGTTAAATCTCTAAGACGTTTGAGGAAAATGTATTCAAAAGGAAACGTGTTTTTAATCGGATTTGCGATGTGTTTTAAGACCTTTTCAAAGATGGACCTGGGGGCGTTAAGTGTCTTTAAGAAGGCCTTTGTTGTGGGAAATCGAGGGCCAAGCAGTCCTAAATGTGCATTTAATGGGGGGGACAAAAAAAAAAAAAGAAGACATCCTGTTCTACATCACTCCTGTAGGTGGCAGTAATGCACATTAGAACGTGTTGAACAATAAAAAAAGCTGGCTTTTTTTTTTGGGGGGGGGGTTGACTTGAATGAATTGATGACATTTCCATTCATTTCAACAAGGAAAGATGATTTTAAATACGAGTGATCCGAGATACAAGCATGGCCACGGGCGAATTTAAGACAACGGTACCTGGGAGCGCAGGGGTGCCGATACTGTGCCCTTTTGTTGATGTGGTCCACAAAGTAGACGCCGAACTCGGCCGACTCCACCTTCTCCCAGCCCGGCGGGAGCCCCTCGCGCTCCAGCGGGTGGCTCCAGTGCGTCGTGTTGGTGTTATGGTCGATATAGTACTTCCTGCCGCGGATGGTCCAGTCCACGGTCCAGCCGGTGGGGAGGGGCAGGTCCTCTGCAGTCAGGCTGGAGAGGTTCCCCAGCGATTTGGCCTGGATTCGACCTATGCCTGCAGGGAGGATGTAAAATATTTCTCTCAGCGACACGAGCAAACATTGAGTAAATGAGTGAGGAATTTTTTGGTGAGTTCAAAATCAACATTTTGAAGGGAACTGAGTCCCAAGACCAGCCAGGAAACACACGGGCCTTTTGGGAAAAATTAACAAGTTTTCCTGAAATTCCCAATGGCCACCCCGCCAAAATAAGAGCAAAACAAAACAAAAAAAAAACCCACTAGCATCCGGGCAGGGGTGTACAGCCTTTTTATAGCCATGTTTATTTCAAAAGTGGAGCCTTGGCCTCCTCTTTGCGAGGAGAGTCCAAAACTAGTAAAGACGTCTTGCCTGACAGCGTGATTTGGTGAATGTTAAAGAAAAGTGTTTGAACATGCTTACGCCCTTGGTTATCGAACCGTTAAAAACATCCAACAATCCACATCCTGACGGCTGTGCGACAACACCACAGCCCCCCCTCGAAAAGAACGCTTGGGAGGTGACAGCAAGTCAAGAGGGAGCGGGAGAGAGAGGTCACTGCAAGTTGGCGAGTGAAGAAGAGGAATGCGAGAGCACGCCACAGAAATGCACTCCGCCTCCGCCGCAACCGACTCCTCATCATCATCATCATCATCATCACCACCACCACCATCATCATCATCATCATCATCATCGTAGTGTCCGCCATTTGCTGCACTTTGGAAGTACTCTGGAAGTCACATAGTGCTGTCGAGGAGTCGCTGACACAGCGAGCAAGAAGAGAGAACATGACCACAGGGAGAAGCTAATGCTAATCGCTAAACTAACGTGAAATGCAGAGTTGCGAAAGACTAGAGTTAAGCGCTTCACTGGACATTTTTCACAGGAGTCTGGCTATGGCGCAGAGCAACTCTAGCTACGAACAGGAAACTAGTATTACAATTAATCATATAAAAATGTAATTCTTAATTTTGAGAAAAAAAAGCCACGATAAAATAAACTACTAAGTATTTCGATAAGTTCATCGCAAACAAAAATAGCACAGCAAAACGGAAATGTGCTGATGTGCATATCACCCGAATGCCTGACTCTGAGCACACAGTCACATGTTTGTCATGTTCCGAAAAAGAAAGAGCACAAACACACAAGATGAAGCAGAGCGAGCTGTGTGGCATCCCGAGAAGCCTCTGCCTGCATTCCGATCACGCCGACCTAAGCGTGACGCGCGTCGAACACGGGGTATGGATATGAAAAGACTTGTTCATGAGGCTGTGGACTTCTCTTTAAACACGGTCGCCGCGACCATTTTGCGTGCCACCTGCAGGGCTGCGGAAAATTGCCCTAGGACGCATTTCACATGGGCGTCAATGAGCCAGAAGATGTGCAGAAGATGTGAGTTAGTATATTTTTTCCCATAAAAATATACTAACTCATAATTTTTATATTAATAAAATCCTAATGTTTGGCCTGCACACCATTCCAAATCCGCAAAACAAAGATTACGCCTAATCACCTTATATAAGGCAGTATACGACTCAGGGTGAGCACAACTAAGACATGTCTGCCATCTAGTGGCCTATATTACAATTGAAAACTAGAGTCAACCCCTGCATATTGGTGGTTCCTGGACTCAACATTTTTTTCCTCACAATATTTTTTTTCATAATTTTGGATATTCCCTATTTTTTTCTGGATTGTTTTTCCCCTAAATTGAAATGCCAGGGTTCACAACAGACACACTCCCTACATGTTGCGCAGTGTGGGCAAAAGGGCGGAAAAATTACCGGAGGGGGGTCTGCTGGGTGTGGGGGGCGTGTGTTGCCGCGGATGTCTTTGGAAACTATGTTCTCCATGCTCGTAGTAGTGGTACTCATCCGGGAAGCGTTCCGGCATCCTCCGGGGCTGCTGTTGCCTACCCTCGTAGTAGGAAGCTTCCTGGGGGTGGAAGTAGTAGCGCCCGGCGTCGCCATTCTCCGACACGGGGCCTCCGTCTGTCAAGAAAGACTGCAGGGAGCCGGCGTATTCGTGCGGCAGATCGCCAAGGCTGCGCGGCAGGTACGACGGCGCAGACAAGCGATGGCTCTCGCGGCGGGCCGCCTCGTGCGGTGGACGCGGCACAGCGGCGCGGAGGAAGCTCTTGCTGCGGGACAAGTTTGGCTCTCGGCCGGGGGCCGCCGCATAGGCAGAGGGCCCCATGTCGGGCATTGGCACATCGGCGCGGCGGGGCATGGTGGGGCCATGACGAATGAACGAGGGCATAAGATCTGTAGGGAAAAAAAAGGAACTTGCGTTAGCTATAAGTTACGTTTACAATGTAAGAAGTTGCTTGCTACCAGGACGGTTGTGTTGAGCCATTACAGGCAAATGCCAGGCCACTGAATGCGTTGGGTTTCCCTAAAGCGGCAGATTTAAAAGACATCGTGAGGGAATGGAATGGAATGCGGGGTGACTGTTTATTAGACCATATTCACTGGAGTCACTGTAAATAAGGTCCTATTTTATTTTAAGAAGTGGAGATACGCAGACTTACAGTTCACTTTAGAAGTGGATGCTCCCTCTGCTGGCTGTAGAAAGATTATTATTAGCAATACAGTACAACCTCTTTTGTCAAACTTTTTAGAAGTACCAGAAAAACTTGCCTCTCTAGTCTCATGATCAACATTAAAATAGAGTAGCAGGATGGTAGAAAGTCAAGTTCTCCAAAAACAAGGCAAGTTTTCTCCCCGAGGATATTTGATATTCTTGTAGGACACTGTAACATTATGCAAAGTTTGACTATTAACACTGCTTTAATTTGTCCCCCAAAAATTCAATTGCAAATGGATACAAAGGTTCAAGAAAAGCTGCAGCTACTTTAAATTTGTAAAAACAAAGAGTGCTAAAAGGTTTAATTGAACGTAATAGTTTGATACCACCGAACTGCACTAGAATGAAAAAAAAAGCAAATTAGAGCCTCCCTTTGACAATTAATGCAGTAGAGAAAAAAAAATGTGTGACAGTAATTAATATATATATATATAAATTACTTTAGGTTGGTTTACAACTTGTGTATTTCAAACACAAACAAGAATTTGACAAGTTGAAATGGAGTCCAGAATTGATATTTTATACTGTGGTGTCACCACCAAGCATTATGAGATAATATGATGCTATTATAATAAAAATAATAATAATAAAGGAGATAACGGGGCAAACTGGGAGACAATGGGGCATTATTGAAACAAAATGGGAATAAATAGGACACAATTCAGCATCATGGGGACATTATGGAGCATGATGGGCCATGCTAGGGAGCCACAGGACACAGCATGTGAATTGATGGTATGATATCGTTAAAAAAAAACCCAAAACGGAATAAATAGAACCCGATGGCGCAACAGAGGACATGATGGGACATAATAGGGAACAAATAGGAACACAACTAGGGTCATGAACGGGAATGAAAACAAATGGGACGTTACAGAAGAGAACATAGTGTGACATGAGCCAATAGACGACATTAAAACATTGGCTGATGATGGCTAGTATCTTAGAATTCTAATTTGAGCCAATGCAAGTGACGTATACAGTAGCGGAGAAGCTTTGTTATAACGTTTCGCTGCCAGGAGAGCAGCTGGCTGCTTTAAAAGAGTGCGCTTAAACGTGGCCTAAGTTTAGCATAAACGGAGTAAGAAAAAAAAAGTGCGACTAAATGTTTCCACGTCCTCGCTGTGACTTACAGGGTGTAATCGAGGAGCAAACAACATGAATTAAATCGATAGCGAGAGAGGCTAGGACGGGCTAAACTAGGCTGGGCTAACTATCCAGCAACCTGTTGCTTACTTCGGAGGAGCGGCGACGTCTCTTTCTTCACATACTTCCCGTGGACCTCGGCCGGCTTCGACGACTCGCTTTTACTCTTCTTTCGCGAGAGCATAATAACTCCAGTTTGAGCGTGGCGGCGCTGGTGGGGGAGGGGAGCGGGGAGACGACGTCAACAACGCGGCGCTGTCAAGCCCTCCGCTCGGAGGCCGCCCCGCTCTCCTCGTCGCCAAGCGCGGAGAGACAACATTTTGGAAGCGGTCCGCTTCGGAGGACGAGGCGAATTAGCCTAGCCGGTGCTAACTAGAGTGAGACGCGACTCTGGTCGCTTGAGTTAATTGTACGCATGCGCAGACGGGTGCCCCTACCTGCGGGCGCATGCGCAAACGTGGTTGTTTGAAGGCGCTCAACTCGCCCACATCTCAAATATTTCCCTATTTAAAAACATGAAAATGCAATAAACCTGTTTCACCCAACCTGCAATCGCAAAATAAATTAAACGGACAGTGTAAAACGCACAAAACGTCACCCACAAAATCAGTCATCACCAAAAATACACGTGGACATCTCGATTTATGCCCAATTCAACGTCTGAAAATATCAAAACGACGCCCCCAATAGTTTTACATTGTCTATTTTTTCTTATTAAATCAGAAAAACAGCACTCTATTGTTTTACTTGATAAAAACATACAGCAATGACAATTCAAATATAATTAAAATATTTAAACCAAACTTTCTGCTCCAATTCTTTTTTTTCCACCCAGGAGGATTGTGTTAAAATTACAAATGTTAATCCATGTGACGAAATTAAGGATCTACACAATTTGAATATAATATTTTAATTTGCTGCAGTAACCAACATCGTTGTCGTCCGATGAAAAGCATGTAAAAACACGAGGAAAACATTGTGTAAAATACATTGGGACAAAATGCCAAAACAAAAATTAAAATGAGAAAAAACAAATATATACAAAATAGAGGGAAATGCACGCACGCACACACGCACGCACACACACACACACACAAAGAGTGGAAAATGCATATTTGGAGGAAAGCATATCCCCAAAAAGTGTGAACAGAAAAAAAGGCTAAACGTGCTTTTCATTGGACAGAAACATCAACATTACATCATCCATAAAAATGTATGGATTTGTACCTATAAACACTTTTCTGCAACATGTCATTACTCATTACAATACATGTGGCATTTACAGTGAGTGCGACATAGTGTTGGCATACATTTTTATAACTACTTATACATCGTATGTACATGATGTGTTGTGATGATGTTTGATGCGCATGAACATCAGCCAACAGGCAGCTTTGTGATTGGGAAGTTATGCACTGGACAGAAGAGCGCTTGTATCTATTCAAATGACACACTGAAAGCCTCATCACAAGGGAAGCTGTATACAGACTATTGTTCTTTTGACCTGGAATACCAGTCTTTTTTTTGGGGGGGGGGGGGGTGGAGGACTGAGTCAAATACTTAAATTGATTGTGACCCCAATATTTCTGTCAGCTTGGTCTGTCTAAACTGGGACTAATTTATGTTTGGTATAGAAAGATATGATGTATCTCTTCTGGAACGTTCTGGTAAAGTCTAAATATTTGGACAATAAAGTCATAATTCTTAAGGCAAAAGTAAATGAAGTAAAAATTTCTCGATCTTGAGATCTGAATTTAAGAGAATGTCATCATTGTGCAAGAATGTAAAAATATACTAAGAAAATAAAGTCATTTTACGCTTCACAATGTCACTGTGAGCTTTTGTGAGAATTACAATTATCAAAGTTGTAAAAATAAAAAAAAAAGTGTTTTTGCACCACCTTGTGGAGGAGGTGGTACTTCGTATACAAGTGCAATACATTTAATGAATCCATGTAAAATATAGAATACAAAAAATACTGCATATTTACTGGATGTAATACTGACGTTTAGGTCATTACAAAACAATCACGTGTACATCATGCGCACTTAAAGTTGTAAGATGGCGAGAGGAGAGGCCTGGGGCTTGGACCACATACTCTTGTGTGGGGCGTCGAGGTGTCGTCCTCTGCCAGTTGCTTGGTCCTCTCCGCCGATCTGCGCCGCCGCTCGACCACCTCAAGGGCCTTCAGTAGCTGACCGTTCTCCACGTACAAGTCTCGGATCAGCACGTCCGCTCTGGTGTTCTTGTGCACCTGGGAAAAGTCAATCAATGTTAAGCACATTGGCAAATTACACTTTGGGACGATAATCGTCTCGAGAGTAACAGTAGCTATCTTCTCATAATGCACAGAGAATAGGAGAGCAGTCGTGCATTTTATTTTTTGACAATTTTATGCGCGAGAGCACTTTTCACCGGGGAAAAAATAAATACACTATCCCTAGGATAACCCATAAATACCCATGCTGGACTCTGAATGGCAATACAGTGACTGTACGCTTTCACCAAAGAGAAAATCTTTTATCATAATACAGCTGTAGTTGGAATTGCACGAAAACGTGGACTAAACCAACACAGAATCTGAGACATACAAGATGCTTTCACCGGTATTTTTTTAACTCCGTAGCAAACTAAACGGCATCAATCTGAACCAGAATAAAATGTGTAATAAACCAACACATGCATCACAACTTTGTTAAAAAAAAGGTTCTGACCTGCTCTTTGAGCTGAGCCACCTTTTCTCTGAGAAGCAGCTTGACGTTACGTAGCGATGCCTCGATTTCCTTCATTCGTTCCTCCATGCGCTCCATCCGGCTTTCAGGGTCGTCCTAGATAGGAAATAGTTATCAATGCTAATTCTCATTACTGTTATTATTATTAAGACTGAAGTGGGAGCATTTCAAGGAAAAGCAACAACAACAAAACCAACCTGACCTGTATTTGCTGGAAACTTTATTCGATTCCATCACATCATGTCTGTTACATTTCAGAAAAAGAATAATAACATGAAAAATAAAATGGGAGGTAGGAAATTGTGTGGTCAAAAGATTTAAAAAAAAATGTCAGTGGAGTAAAAAAAATATGTACAAATGATCCAGGAACAAGAGCTCATATGTGGGAATTGGGCAATAGGCGCAGGTGAACGGGTAAAAACGAATCCATTCCGTCCTCAGTCATTGGAAGTCGGTGCCCAATGACTTATTTTGGTATTGTTTGTTTTAAAACATTTGTCAATGGAAGCAAGAAAATATGGACCGAATCAATACAGGAACTATTCTTCTAGTTGAAAACTGGAGGACCGGCATATATGAACAGGTAAATCCAAATCCATCCTTTCCCCAATCATTTAAAGTCGGTACCCTAATGATCATCTTGGTAACCTCATCAAAATTAGTCAGTGGAAATGAGAAAATATGTACAAGACCAACCGAGGAGCTCTACCTCTCGGTGAACACCTGGTTGTCGGTCCAAGTAAGAACGTGGCTCAACGGCTAAATCTGAGTCCATACCCTAATGTCACCTTATTTTGGTAACCCTGGCAACATTTGTCACTTGCGATAGGAAACGCTGTACCATCAATATGGGAGGGAAATGTGCAATAAAAAAAAATTAAATACAAAAATCATGGAATCGACCCCCAAAATGAATAAATTAAAGAACATACTCATAAATAATAATAATAATAATAAAACTGTGAACGCATGGCTCGTGTGACGACAACATATATAAATAAATAACTCATTAACATTCAAAATCAACTGAGGTGAGTGTGTGTGTGATAATTTAACAGTTTCTTCTTCTCATCTTGAAAACCCAACAAAAAAAAATAAAAAATTATGATCCACCTTTAGTGGTACAGCAGCAAAACAGGGGAAAAAGTCCCTTATGACAAACAAACAAACAAAAAAACTGCAGCTTGAACAAACATTCATCAACATCATGTGCAAGTCAAATTCTCATAAAAGGCCAAACAAAAAAGAAACCCAGACAGTCGTGGGACCCGTGTAACTAAATATTTTGATGGCGAGCTGAGTCTCGGAAGCTTTGTCATGCCTGATCATTAGCAAACAATCACATTAGCATTATGTGCAGAAAGCATACGCTGCGTTTAATTAAAAGGACTTCCCTCTCTTTTGAGAACAAGAGCATTGAATCAAAACAACACGAAACATTTTCGAGATCATCTCCATTGAAATCCCATTGGGAAACTTTGGCGCCACCTAGCAGCGGTGCAATGCATTGACACGTTCACATATTTGCGTCGTCATCGAGGACGCCCTAAATAAAAAGATAAGTACAGAGCGGCCATCTTGGCAGATAGAAGAAGACAGTGGCGTTAAAGCCCGCCGAGCCGCCGGTAGCCTTCCGCGTTGGTGTGAGCTCGCTGCTCCGCCGCAGCTCCCTGGGGAGAAAAAGGCAGGGTACACTTCACCACAGCTCCAGCCTCGCTAATCTCAAACCAAGCTTTCTAGCGGCTAGTCTCTACCAGTCGGACATTCGGTCTTTTTACGTCAACGATGGCTACAAAGTTTAGCCAACCGGAAAGTCACACCCAAACCAAACCAAACCAGTGCATTACTTTTTCCACATTTTAATATATGGCCAAATTTGAAAAATTATTATGACCTCATGTCAGGGGTTGCCAAGGCAAGTTACTTTGAATGTTATCCGAGGCACAGTTTTTTTTTTTTTCCCCCACCGGATGCCCTTCCTGATGAAAGCCACTCATTTTCACCAACATTTTTTAAGAATGATACATTACAATTTGCTTCAACTTCAGTGCTCAACGGCAACAAGCTGCAACTCTCCAGCCAACCCAGATCCAATCTTCAATCTGCTGGATCAAGTTAATGAACCCAACCTCGGGTTAAAGTAACCCAATCGGCTCAAAATCCACAGCTAACGAGTTAGTGGCATCGGAAAACAATCGGGCATTTTTTTTGTGGCAAAGTAGATGGGACTTCTTGATTTTATTTTTAATTTAATACATTATCAAACAACATTTTTTTTTTTTTACATCACGTTTTCATTAAAGGGTTTTGTGTGTAAAATTTTGAGTGGAGGAAATTTGATTTCTATCCATATTAGAATAAGGCTGTAACATAACAGAATATGGAAAAAGCAAAACACCGAACTGGTGATAAAGTGTTGCTGCTCTACAAGGAGCATAAGAACAATGACAAATTGTGAAGAGATGGAAGTTTGACCACACCAAAAAGTACCGAAACGGAAAATCCAACAGGTGTAAAAGCAAAACACCAAACCCCCCACCAAACAAAACCACACACAATGAACGTGGAGATGGACCTGTGAAACAAGACGAGGACTGCAAACAGAGCATACCATTCAGGAAATATGAAAAATGATTTGCAGGGATTTATTTTTGACATGGGTTCTTTCTTACAATCCTGAACGTATCAGCTAATGGAAGTTGAGTGGAAGGAAGGATGAATGCAAAGTGGATCCTATTCTGATTCCTACATCTCGACATAACATCCAGGTAGTGCCATTATGAGTGACTCTTCGACTCAACACAACAGCATGAAACTTATGTGAGGTGGTTGTGAAAATGCCTCCAAACAGACATCGAATACTCAAATGTGTCACGATCGTATGATCGTACCTGCCCGACGTCGGCGTCTGAACGATGTCCTCTTGCCGTCCTGTGTGGCGACGTCGGCAAGAGTCCGGTGAAGTGAACCTGGTATGACTAACAAAGGGAAAAGAAAAAAACAATTAGAGACATGTAAACTTTTGTGCTCTATTACCACAATAAAAATAAAAAAATATATTTACAAAAAATATTCAGTGAATCACGTTGACTATTTAGGAAAATGAACAAAAAACAGCTTTGTGCCTCATAATTTGGAACCCGGTTTTAATTGAATTGCCAACCTCAAAGAGTTTCGCAGTGAGCCGAGCTATTTCGGCCTTGAGCGCCTCATTTTCCTCCTGCAGCTGTGCATGTCCTTCCTTCGCCGCGAGGTCCTAGTATTAAAACATCAAGCAATGAGATGACAGGGTGTACCAAAAGTAAGAGAACACCTTCTAAATTAACTTGTTTCTCTATTTACAGATGCGGCGAATAATGGTCAATTCGGAAAGATGCAAAACAAAGAAAGCAGGAAGGAAAGAAGGAGGTCAGGAAGGAATAGATGCCAGAAAAAAAAAAAAAAACGGGTCCGAGAAGAAGGAAGGCACAATAAAGTCAGAAAGAAATTATGTAAAAATAAAACGGAGGAAAATGGAAGGAAGAAAAGATGGAAAAATTGCCAGGGAAAAAAAAAAAGTGCCTTGATACCTCGATGAGCAGCTTCTGGGCATCCACTTCCTCCTTGAGGGAGGCGTTCTCCTTCTCCAAGGCTTTGAGCAGCATCGCCTGGCTGTTTTTGTGCTGCTGCTGCTTCAGCGACAGGATGCTGACCTGCGCGCAGTCACACCACGGTTACGTTCACACCCACGCGCAGGATCCAAGCATCGAGTTGGGACTTGAAACCTTGTCGTCTTGTTCCTTCGGCTGTAGCGCGCCGTCTCTTTGGAGCTTCCTGCTGGGACTTTGGATGGGCGACTCGTGCAAGCCCAGCTCCAAAATATGGTTCTTGCGGAGGACAAAGTTGTGAATACAAAGGCACCGTCAGGAGACGGTCCAACAAGTCTTACCTTGTCGGAGGCGTTCTGCAGCTGCTTGCGCAGGACGGCGACTTCCTGGCGGAGTGAATCTCGGTCCTGCTGCATGATGCGCAGATCCGACCGCAGGCAAGCCTTCTGATGACTCAGGGCCTGGAGGGTGTCATCCATGCTCTTCACCTGGGATGTGGAAATAGACAACAAAATAAGTAGGGTGGGGAAGTAAGAAGGAGGAAGCCCAAAAAAGTCTTTACCCGCTCCTGGAATTTAGCTAGCTGTTTGCGAAGACCCCGGGTCTCTTTGGCCGCATCTTTTCGGCCGTCCGTCAGGTGGCTGAGATGATTCTCCATCGAGTCCGCCTCCATCAGCTGCGCACAAAAAGGCGAGAAGCTACGTTGCCACACGCATGAACCGTAGGTATCGTTTGAGTTTGCTCTGGAAAGACAGCAGGAGGTCTTCGACCCGAGGGCCCTACCTTCTCCTCGAGGCCGGACACCTGCCGGGCCAGCTCGGCGTTTCTGTCCTCCAGCCTGGCTGCGTCCTTCACAGCTTTGGTCAACTCGGCCTCCAGAGCGCGCACGCAAGCTGCGAGCTAACAACGCGGGCCGGCTGTTAATCGCGAGGTCAAAGCCGCCGCGTCGCCACGACGACCGCACGCTCACCTCTTTCTTCTCCTCGCCGGTGAGCGCCTCCTGCTTTTCGTCGTCTTTTATCAGCTCGGCCAGCTGCCGCTTGAGCTCGTCCACGTCGGCCAGGCTGCGGGCATTCTTCTCAGCCAGCATCCCGTTCTCGTTGTGAAGTCGCCGGCTTTGCGAGCGAAGGTCGGACATCTGAAACGTGTCGTTAGTGAAAACGTGCCCCAAATGATGTCTTGACCCGGGCCGAACAATTAATCAAATTCAAATCCAAATCTAGAAAGCGACTTGGAGCTCCGATCGACCGCAACTTGTCAATGAAGATCTGCATTCTTATAATTTTGCCTCACCTCTTTGTTGAGATTCTCTGCTAGCTGTTCGGCGGCAACTTTGTCCTGGTTGAGCTGCTCCAGTTGATGTCTGGAAATGGATCATGAGATGCATATTAAATTCCGATCAACAGCAGCGGTTCTCAAAGTTTCTGGATTCAAGGATTCCCTAAAGGGGACAGTCACAATCCTGAAAGCAATTAAACATAACTCATAATTATAATGAGAGTTTTTTTGAGGAACGAAAATAAATCTAAATGTATATGAATGAAGGTAGTTTTGATTTTTTTAAAAGCCGTAGTCTTAGTTTCAAAGAAAAAAAGTCAATCGTTATGATCAGAGCCGAAAAATATTTGGTCAAGAAAATAAAAGTCAGAATCTGATGAATCTTCATTCTCATCTATTCAATCTTTAAAAAAAAAAAAAAAAGACTACTACTTTATAATGTTGACAAAATTTTCCTTTTGTTCTTAAATGACAATTCATGCAGGAATGTCAGATTTGTGTTATATGTCAAAATGAACGTTTTTCAAATTCTCCCAAATTGGTGAAATCTGTTTGTGTTATTAAGCACACCAGTTCCATATGTAGACAATGTTTTTTTTGTTCCCCAAAAAAATTTAGCATCAAAATTTATTGGGTATTATCTTGCAGACCCCACTTGATCCGCAGACCTCAGTTTGAGAGTCACCGATCTGGGAATCTAAGCAGCTAAATAAGTCCGCAAAGCTCCGAATTTAGACAGAGACTTTGCGGTATACTGCCGTAGAAACCAGTCCAAATCGTTGTTTCGGTTCTTGCCACTTTTTGTTGCCTCCCTGCAACTTTGTCTCCGTGCAGTGGGGGCAGCACCACCATCACACACGTGGGATGGATTTAGGAGCAGTTTGGGTTCTAGTCACAGGACTGTCAGGGACATGAGGGGAATGACGGGGATAAAGGGCAGGCCACAGAACTAATCTGGGGACAAGGCTCCAAGGTGGTCTCCACATTACCTATTGGCCCATGTGGTGTCATTCCCGGCTTGCGGCTCTGAGATGCCTTGGTGAAGTTTGGTGGTGTGCACGGCAAACTCACCGCAGCTGTCCTGCACGGGCGAGGACTCAGAAATTCTGCTCTGGGGGAAAGCGGGATCCAAGGTGTTCCTTCGCGTTTCAAACTCAAGGAACAACTCTGAGAGCTTGCGGTTCTCCTGCCGAATCCTGCCGATGTCGTCTGTGAGGGAAACCCGCTCATCGCTCATCCGGCTTTGGAGTCTCCAAATCTTCATTTTGAGCTCGGTGTTTTGCCCCTTCAGGGTGGCGTTCTCGCACACGCAGTCTTCGTAACGAGCTTGAAGCTCCTTCATCTCGGAGGCCTTGACTTGCAGCGCTTTGATGTGCTCCAACAGCAGGAACATTTTGACTTTGAGGCTGTAGTTTTCCTCCAGATACTCGTGGCCCGTTTGGATCTTCTTGCTGCTGTGCTCCAAAAGACTCTGAAGGAGCTCGGTCTTCTGCTGGAGCAAAAGGATCTTCTCCTGAAGGAGAACACTCTCTTCTCTGCTTTGTCGGTATGAAGATTGCAATTCGAAAAGAGTCAAATCCTGGGCTTCATAATCAGCGTCTACATTATTTGGACGAACCTTTGCCTGCTCCCCGTTGAAATCATCCCAGTAAGATTCTGAACCACGATCACCTTTGGCATCGTCTAGAAATTGTTCACAAGGATCCACGATGACCAAGGAACCAAAAGCGGTCTCTGTATCCCACCGATCCTGATGAGAGGGGTTTTCCATGGTAGAGGTGGATTCAACTTCAGATCCACTTTCTTCTTTGCGGTCAACCAAAGCTCCAGAGAGCCCAATTGATGAGTCTTTATCTCGGCACTGAGTGGGTGAGAAAGACTTGGTGTTTCCATCCGTCCCAGGAAACTCGAACTCCGCGCTCATCTGAGCGTTTTCTCCATGACACGGAACAGCTTGAGGGTTGTCGTTAGCTTGCTCAAGATTTGACATTCCAAGGTCATTACAACCCTCGCCAAGAACAGTTGTGTTACGAGTCCATGACGCACGGAGGTCTTGGTTCTCACTTGCATCCACGTTCAGTTGCGACACGTCTTGGTCAGGCTCTTTCGTTGGGTTGCGCTCCTTTTTCAGATCTTCCTCACTGAAGGAATTTTCAGGAATTGATGTCGCAGCAGTTCCTGCGTTCTTCGACTCAACCGAAAACGGATCCTGGCTTCGGCTTTCCTTCAATTTCTCCTCCAGGAGAGCCACCTGTCCCTGAAGCTCCACCCTGTCCAGCTCAAAGTCATCCACTGCCTGTTTGAGAAGCCTCTCGATGTCCTCAATCCTCAGCTTCAAATCGTCACGCTCGGTGAGGAGTAAAATCCTCTCTGCGGTCTGCCGATGGGATATCGAAAGCAGCTCTTGGTATTGCGCCTCCAGCTGCGTGTGGGCGCTCTGGAATTCTTCCCTCTCCAGTCGGAAATCTTCTACCGTTTGGCTGAGGAGGAGTTCGGCATCGTTGGCTTTTTTGTCCGAGTGAGCGAGAAGATCCTCCTTGGCCTGCAGACTCTCCTGGAGTCGGTTGCGCAGATCATTCAGCTGGTGATTGAGCGCCATTTCTTTGGTCTGAGCGGCCACGGCGCCGCTCTCCGCCTGGTGTTGCAACTGCTGGGTCTTTTTCACCATCGCCTGCATGACTTCTCCGTGAATCTTCTCCAATTCGAGCCGTTCTTCTGCCCATTCCCGGTTGCGTTTCTCTGTTCCTTCTTGCATCTTTTTCTGCCATTCTTCAGCATTTTGGAGCGCTCTCTGAAGCTGCTCCTCCCAGTGGAGCTTCTGCTCGGCGTGGTTCTCCGAGAGCTCCCTCAGCTCACTCTGATAGTGCCGTTCCAGTTTCAGAACGTCCGTCTGAAAGCGCGCGGCCGCGGATTCTTGGTCACCCGAGAAACGATCCTCGACTTGCTTGATTTTCTTGGCGAAGCTCACCTCTGTCTGTTGCCTGGACATGGTTATGTAATCAGTGTTAAAGAGCAGAAGACACTTTTTAAAAGGGGTGTGACACGGCTTTGTCGTCGGATAATTCTGGACGGTACAAAGGCAAATGCACACGAAGAACAGTTTAAGTGAAGGACAGGAAGTGTCACTCCAATTTCAGGAGAATGGATACATTTTTAGGGTGTTTTAGTCAGTATTGTTCATTTCCTAAAAACTATAAAACCTTGAAACTGATTTCAAGAGGGCAGTTTTTGCGGTACCGTTACAGCCCTGGTTTCGATTTGTGACGGTACAACAAGCGCATCGTTTTCACACTTGCGCTAAGTGTTTCGGTCTTCTCATATAATTCTAGTCTCAAACACTTTCTGTTCGAAAGGTTGCATTAGTATTCATGAAACGGTGGCACAAAATATCGACGTTGCGATGTATCGCATCGCATCGCCCACGGTACAGTGACATCAGTTTGTGTTGGGTACACCTCAGTAGTACAAATGTCGTCTTTGCGAGCAGCTGAGCAAACTCGGCTTCAAAACGTACGTTGGGGGCGTCATAAACAGAGGGCTCCCCTACATGATGACGGGAATCGTATCATTTCCTCACCTCTCCTGAGCGATGTCGCCCCGTAGCTTATCCAGCATCTCACTGAGCGTGTTCCTCTCTTCTGCATGTTGGACGGTCATCTCTCGCAGGGCCTCCCGGTGGCTCTCTACCTGCAGGTCCGCCAGGCCTTCCAGCCTCCTCTCCAGCTCCTCCTTCTCTGCCTCGTGCTTCTCCCGTTCCTCGTCCAGTCTCTCCTGGAGCATGCCTTCATAGTCCTCCTCCAGCTGCAGCCTCTCCCGCTCCCACTCCTGCTTGAGCTTGGCCTCCCGCTGCTCGTGCTGTTCTTGAAGACGCAGCTTCTCGCTCTCCCACTGCTCCTGGAGCTGGGTCTCCTTGTCCTCCTGCTCCTTGACCAGCCTCAGCATGGCCTCCTCCAGCAGCGCCTGCAGGGACTCGTTGTTCTGCTCGTCCAGGTGAGCTCGCTGCCTCTGCCACTCCTCGGTCAGCCTTTTCACAGTGCGGTCGTGCTCCTCCTCCAAGCCGGACCTCGCCTCATCAAGTCTGGCTGTCAGCTCCTCCTGATGTCTTTGCGTCAGTTGTTCTTTTTCCTTTTCGAAACAATCCATCCAGCTCTTCTCCAACTCGTCCGTCTCTTGCTGGCGTTTCTTCTCCCAGTCCTGCAGTCTGGTTTCCAACTCTTCCATGTTCTTCTTTTCCAGAGCCTTTACCAGACTGGCGTGTTGGTTTCGTAGCTCCTCCATCTCAGCGCATAGGTCTGCCTTTCGCTCTTGCAGGTTCCTCAGCTGCTCCTCCCTTTCCGCCGCGACGGCCTCCACCTCAAGGAGCTGCCGCCGAAGGGTGCTCGTCTCCTCCTCCAGGCGGGTCAGCTCCAGTTCTGCCAGCTCAAGCTGGCTCTGGAGCTCCCGCTCTCGTGACCGAATGGTGGCCAACTCCTCCCTCGAGCCCTGGAACTCCTGTCGGTGCTGGAGGGCCAGTGCCGTCTTCTGGACCTCGTGTTGCTCAACCGCAGCGTTGAATTCAATGATCTGCATCAAGGAAAACAATTTTTGAATGTATTTTTAAGTCTGATTTTAAAATTCCAGAAGATAATTACGTTACAAATATAAGCTATGTGGCTGTTTTGAAAAACATGACATGCAATTTTATCTTTGTTTTAAGCATAGTTTGAGAGTATATTGACAATATATTGCATGTTTATGCACGTATATTACATTAAATTTTTCCAATGTACAGGAAACGTATTCAGATTTGTTCCAAAAAATATATATATATCTTGATCATGCAACATTAAACAATTAAGTGGACCTACTTTGGTCTCCAGCTGGTTCTTCAAGTCATCCATTTGGCGCAAATGCTGCTCCTTTTGCTGCTCCAGCATCATCTCCGCCTCCAGACTCATACTGATGAAGGGATGCACTTCCTCCGATCCGAGGCCCGGGTCCGACTCCACGCCGGGGCTTTTGCTTTCCAGCTCCTCTGAGAGTGGCTGGGGGCAGCGCTGCCGAGTTCGGCCCAAGCTGTGGAAGTCCTGCAGCTGGGACTGCAGCTCATCCACACGATCCTGCAATTCCTGTCCAAATAATCAGCGGTACAGTTTTAGAAATGGACCATAATAGCCTTGTCTGAGCTGAAAGAATAAGTAAACAGCTGTGTTTGTGATCACATTTAGTATTTATTTAAAAAAAAAAAAAGCTGTTCTAGTTCAAAGGCCGTGCACACCTCTCGCTTCATGTTTGCCATGCAATTTCTCTCCTTATCTTTGGAGAAGCAGCATGTTGCTTCTCGAATGGCCTGTTCCAAATCACCGTAAATTGTACATTTCTGATTTCACAGGGCTGCCCAACAATTGTGACAGCAGCCATGTTATTCAGAAGACCCTGTACAGTGCACACAAAAAGGTGGCTTTTTTTTTTTTCGGGATTCCCACGGGATGGAAGTCAAAGTTCCCATTTACGCACGGAATTGGAACGGTATAGGATAAAAAGTTTACGGGAGCAGACGAGAGCTGGATTATCCAGTAGGAAAAAAATAAATAAAATACACATCGGTATGCTACATATTACAGTCAGGTCTATAAATATTGGGAGACTGATGCTTCTCATCTTGTTGGCTCGAAACACCACCAAAGTGGATTTGAAATCATAACGATGAAATAATACCGTATGTCGTAAGCACAGTATTATTTACCCTGCACTGCGCTTCGTAGCCCAGTCGCAACTGCTTAATGCGTTCCTCCTGCAGGAAGAAGTCAGCACTGCCGGGGTCCAGGTCGCCAAACTAAACATCACAGGCAAGACACAAATTTAGTCGAATTGATTTGAAACTTTCCAAAGCGTCTCCCTTTCACGTCTTACCTTCTCTTTCATCACGTTGTCCAAACTTGCCTGCAGTTTTGTCACTTGGCTTTGGGCCTTGGTCAATTGTTCACTGCAGTCCAGCAAGTCCATCTCCAGACGTCTGTTTTCCTTTAAAGACGAAAGTACAACATTCTACGATGCTCTCAGCCTGCATCTGCAAGAAATACCGGCAAATTCGGACCTACCTTGACGGAGATGGAGAGGTGGTCCCGGAGGAAGGACTCATCCTCCTTAATCTTTCCCACCTCGGCCTCCAGTTCCTCGCATTGCTGCGCCGCCTGTTGGCGGATCAGGTCCATCTCCTTCATCAGCTCCGAGCGCACTGCCGCAAGCTTCTCTTGGTGCATCTCCTCGAGCTTCCTGCGCAACGTCCGCACGCCATTCAATTAGTGTACCAATTAATATGAACACCTTAACAGCAGAGGGTGCCTTGAGGAGTCGGATAAAAAAAAATGTATTGGGAGACAAACGCGGAATGTTATTTTTACAATTGAAAAGAGTTCCGAGGTGTTTTGATAAGGCATTGAGACGAAAGCATGGCCAAACCTCACATGGATCAAGAATTATTGACATATTTTGTCAGCGTATTCTTTCGCGTGAAATCTTGTTGCATGGTCGGATCCGCTCAACGCAGTGCGCCAGCGCTCATGTCACGCCACTTAATGCTGGGCCAATGGTGAGTGAGTCAGTGTGAACAACTAAATCACAAAACCCCGCAAAGTTACCTGAGGTTAAGATGATTTGTGCGCTCGATTGACAAGTGATGCTCATCCACCTCAGTGGCCAGCTGGGTTTTCAGCCTTTCCGCCTTTTCCAGGTCCGAGCGGATTTTCTCCTTCTCCCTCAACTCGCCTTCCACGCGCTCACTGACGAAAAACAAAAGGAGAAATACTATAAATCATCCAGCAATACCCGAGAATAAATTTACAACGGTTCGATCTGACGAACAGGAGATGTCTGATTTCTGCTTTGAAACTGGCCAGCGCTGCCTGGTGGATTCCGTTCTTGGTGCCCAGGAGTTCATTTTCCAGCGCGACGGTCAGATCGCAGAGACTGAGCTTGCCCTCAAGGCTGAAATTTAATGCCTGCAACAGAAGAAATTGAATATCACCCGGGTTTTCCTGCATATCCTTTTGACATTCGAGGGCAGTCGCATTGGCCTCATTTCAGGCCACCTATGGCTCTAAAATTAAAATGACTTTTTAATCAATGGCGGTCTAAGGTTGGATATACTTTAATTGCCTACTTTTAAAACAAAATCCACCAGTTCAATTCCCATTAAATATTTTTTAAAATAATCGTCTCATTCATTGGCTATCAATTTTTTTTCTCCTGCAAATCGGAATTGGCATCAGCTTAAAAGAATACACAAAGGTCAAGCCAAAATAATAAGAACAAGTGAGGAAAAGGTTCATTAGCATATGTCACCTGCAGGATCTCAATGCTATTTTCGATGCCTTCCTCCATCCAGGCGTCGATGATGGATTCGACCGGAGTGAAGCCAGTGCCGTCGTCCAGGGTCGAGAACAGACTCATGCCGACGCTGCCCATCAGGGCGCAAGGATTGGCAATCCGCCGGCCCACCTCATCGAAGGGCTGACGCTATCAAGGAAAATGTCAATAGTTGTTAAAGACGGCCTTCGTATACCTTAACAGAAGCTATTCTGGAAAAAAAAGGAACTAAAATTTCCTGCAACTTAATTGAGGAATGTTGGATTTTTGAACTTTTGCGAAAAGTGTGCAATTATACAGAAAGTCCTTTGAGTCCTATAGAGCGTCTGGTGCTCCGGAATGTTGATCAACAGCAATTTTGGAGTTACAATGATCATTGCAGTAAGACCGTTTGCAGGGGTGTGCAAAAACGCAAAGAGCCACTAGAGATTGGAGTTACTGTTTAGGGAGTTAATGGCGAGAGGGAAGAAGCTGTTTGAATGTCTGCCGGTTGTGGTGAATTGAAAGTTCTGAAAGAGTACAGAAACACGAGCTAAAAGGTCCTGGAACCTTTTCAAAAGATTTCCTGGAGCTTTTGGGGAAACAGTTCACATTTGGACAACAGGAATTTATGACCTATAAGAGTTTTGAGCTCATGGAATTTTTGGAGGGACATTTTGCATTTGGACTGCAGATATTGTTACCTAAATATTAAAGCATCAAACACTTGTTGAGTTTCTGCAAGCCCTGTCCCGGACGCTCTGATAGACGGTCGACTTACCTGAGTGGAGTGTTGTCTTTTCAGCTGCCTGTACGGGGTGGAGGCCGACGGGGTGGCGGGCTTGTTGTACTTTAAAACCATGGAAACAAACTCTTGAACGTTGATCCATCCGTCCCCGTTCAAGCCATGGAGTACATCCGCACTCAACTGACAGAGGAAACGCATTTGTGAGAAAGATCAGATAATCACCTTGCCTCAGCTCTACAACGCTCCACAAGAAGAGCTGACAGAAACGCCGTACCCCAACCTGGCTTTGCCCGAGTGATTTCCTTGCTCACCTCCAAGCCTAAATAATCGCATAGGGCGAGCAGCTCCGTGTGGCCGGCGCGTCCCTGCCAAGATATGGCCAACTCTTCGCAGGCTTCCTGGAGCCTCTCCTTCAGAGCCGCCGAAACACATCCTCGAGTCGTACTCGGCTCATCTGGGTTCCACAGATGCATCTGGCCTAAAAAAAAAAAGAGCCGAGGATGCCTTGGTGACCGATATCGAGATCAGGAAATCGTGGCGGGAAACTAGAACAAACCTTCTGCTTCGTACTCCTCCGTGATAGTTTCATTTGCATTGCAGCGCTAGGCGGAGAGAAACAAAAATAAGAATGTGGATGATATAAACGCATTTCACAAACCATTTCACAAGCTACTACTGTACTGCAGATACTTTTCCAGGCACCGCTGTCTGTTTTCTAACTGGAAAAAAAATTGTACAGTCATACGTCAACTTACGAACGTCGCTTCATACGAGATTTTCAAGTTACGAAACGCCTCAACAGGAAAATGTTGCCTCAGCTGGACAATTCACTGGAACTAAATTGTGATTTCAATTTTCTCCTCTCACATTTATAGCTGCTTGCAGCTTTAGTTTGACTTGTTGCTAATTTACACTGTGGTTGATAGATTTAAAGTGTACCTCCGGCGGCCCATTTTGAGATATTGATGGGGAAATGGAGCAATTTTGTCAAGTTTGATAAAAATGTGTTATTTGTGTCCAGTCTCGTATTTGCCAACCGCCCCCCCCCCTGCTTCATTTTAATGAACGGCGGCATGTTGACTGGGCCGTCCCTTGCACCCACGGATCCAGCTGAGCAACTGATTATGTAGAGCAATAAATAAAGCTGCTGCCCAATTTTTCTGTGGGGCAGCTGCTTCTTTCGCTTCAAGCATGAGTTTTAAATGAGTTTCAGGTTGAATGGAGGCTGGAGGCGGAGGTTTTGACTGGGTTGATTTAGTCAGGGGTGGGGGGGGCAACCCCATTGTCTGGAAGGCAAAGAGTGAGGGAATGAAGAACAGATGGGGAATCTGCAAGTGGCCTTTTGATAGAGGGTGTGGAGAAATCCAGACTGAGGAGGGGGAAGAGGAGGGCTGATATGAGTCTTTGTTTCCCAGTACCCTCCTCCATCCAGACAAGCTGAATGTCCTGCCAGGCCTGACCCAGCACTGGTCACTGAGGCATTGTCGTCACCTGGCTTTGTCAAAACTAAAATGACACGCTTCTGTTCATTGTCACCACATGGACATTTGTGCTTCAGGCATCTGGAGTGCAGGGAATATTAAAACACGCGACCCGGGGCTGGAGCAGCCGTCATGATGACCAGCTGACCCGTCTTTGTCAACATTTGAGTTCCTTAGGAACTCAGCATCTTCCATCTGTCTACTATATGTGGTTCAAAACTTGGACAGAGACGTTGTTGAAGGAAACCCGTAATGGGCAAAATTTAACAACTATGAATAATTTAGGGCCTATTTCAGACCCTTGAGGTACTCCTTGTATTATTTCAGATTCAGATTTTCAGTTTCTGGACATCCACAGCAAACTTGATGTTGCTCAGCAAAAACGGCCTTGTGGGCTGAATTTTCAAGACACTTGGTGTAGCTCCCACCTTATTCACTTCAGAGTTTTGTGAGTTAATGTGAGTCGATCTTTGCAGACGTAAGGAAAAAAAAAAAAACCCTCAGATCCTTCACAATTTAGCATTGCTAATCTGTCTAGTACACATGGTTAAAATTTGGTGGCAATCAGACAAAATTGCCAAAAAGGGACCAGTAAAATTCACGGAAAAGCCTAAAATTGCCACTCCAAATCAAAGGGGCAGAAACCAACCATCAACTAGCAGAATCTTGTCACTGGGAAAAAAAAAAGCCCTAAACTCACGTTTGATTTATTCTGCTCTACTTTTACTTCAACTAAAGTCAAACTCTTCCCTTCATCAACACCAAAACGATGCCCCATTTCTCCATTGGCCAATGTGACGAGGTCTCAGTAAATGTCAGGAGCTTAGGCCTGCCTTGGCATCTGTCAAGTCACTTGTATGCCAGCAATGAGCGCGGGATTATCCACCAAGAAGATCAACAAGCTCAGCATTATGAGTCAGACACAGAGAACATCCAGGAACCCCCAAGGCCAGCGGAATCACTTGCAGTCAAATGTTAAATCCAGAAAAAGATGTTTGCCACAGAAGAGCATTTAATAACATCCCGAAGAAGCACAAGACATCAACAACCTGATCTGTCATAAGAATCGCAACATGAAATGGAATTTGGAATGTTAAATTTAAATTACAGTGCATCGGGATTGACAAAAATGGATCAAATCTGGATCAAATTTAGTTTGATGTTATGTTTCAAAATTACATTCAGGATCCAACAGAAGAACCAAATAAGATCCCACATCAAGACAACAAAATTCGAAGCTGAACTGATGAGACTTGACAAAGATGGAGTGTACTGTGGAAACAAGTGTAAATGCTGTTTTACGGCTTGAGTTAGCTATTCCTTGGTTCAATATTTTGATTTGATTCCATTCCATTCCGAATCTGGATACATTTTTTTGCATTACGGCTTCAACGTTTCATCTGGTTCCAATGGAACAATTTGTTATAAGATCCTGCATGAGCACAAGAAAAGTACAACTGGATCAAATGAGATTTGAAATTCCTGCCAAATATATATTCTGGATCACATCTGTCGTGAAGTGATTTGGACACCAAAGCTACTAATCTTCTCCTGGATCCAAAAGGAAGAACCCCAAATTAATTAAAACAAAATTAAAATTTCATACGATGCGATTTGAAATGGCCGAAAATCTGGATCAGCTCCAGATTCAGTTCGCTTTGACAACTTAGTTCGACCTCGATTTGAGTTTAGCCCACTCCTGACATTTTTGTTGAAATTGTGGACTTTCCAAAAATTGGTATTAAGAGAAGATTCGATATCATTCAGATCATGATAGAAACATTTTTGCATCATCGTGAAAGATTAAGAGAACACTCGCTACGCAAACATTGCGGCTTTGTGACGATTGTTCGTGGCTAACCACACCCAACCAATTACACTTGGCGCTTTATTTACAGAGTTGATGCAATGACAAGGCTGCGTTAAACCTTCCTGCTGCATTTTGCGACGAGCTGATTAGCCAAGAATAACTCCTCACCACATAGTTATGGTCCATATGAGGGCGGGGGGGAGATAAGAATGGCATCCGAGGTGCGAGTGCGTTGCTTTTTTACCTCACGTTTCCTTGGAACAGCCGAGTCATCGCTGTCCTTGGTGTCCTCGCCGCCTGTGGTGTCTTCGCCTTGATTGTGCTCGTCTTCGCAAAAGTCTAAAATGGCGTTGGCCGATTCGGGCTTGGAGCGACGGCCGTAACGTTTGCTGCCCTTCACAAACTTTGGTTGGATATCGGGTGACTCTGACGACAAAGAATAGAAACGAGGCTTCACGCAATCAGGATTTTGGAGACGATCGGCAATCAGCAAGTCAAAAAAAACAAGATGGACCATTATTTACCGGCCCAGCCCCCAAATAGCAAGCCTCAAAATACCTTTTTTTTTTGAAGGGCAGTTTTTTGCTCACCAGTGACGTCATTTGAGGAGTCACTTTGTAATATTGAGGAACAATGCCGGTGAGCCGAAACAAGGGTGTTGAGTTCAACAATAAACATATGACAAAAATAACTATTGAGTATTTCATTTCAGGGACTTGAAGTGGAAATATCAGACAAATCTGATTATTACCTGGTCTGGACGGGACTTCCCGTTGCGCTCGGGGAGCCTCGATGCCGGATGACAACACCAGAATCAGCGCATCCCTGAACTGCTCAAAGTCAACCTGCGATGGGATTTCGCGACAAGAAGCAAATCTATGTAAACAATTCCAAATTCAGTAAATTCCAGGGGGGGGGGGGGGGGGGAGGCGCGACGACGAGTTCAGGTTGACCGCATATTTCTGCTTTTCTGCTGCTGGACACCGAGCCGTTTTTTTTTTTTTTTTTTTGTGCGGTGCCGGCTGGCGTCTGCCGCTTTTGGGCTTCATTGTTGGATTGTTGTGAGCGGGCAATCGGGTCACTCACCCCTTTACCACCACCTAGCCGAGAACACTTCCCCCCCCACCCTGGTTATTCAGCCTGCACACGCTGCTAGACAATAGTCAAGAGGTCTGTGCGCACGCTTCCAGATAATCTCGGGCTCAATGAATGGAAAACTCTGGTCCGCATTCTCCCCTTGCTGTGCTACGTTTGAACAGATGTGGACACAGTAACTGGTTCAGACTGTTTACTTACCAACCGGTTTACCGTGTATGCTCGTATTTTACTAACAGTCCAGATACATTCTTCAAGTTTAATCGAAGCTTATTCAATCATTGACCGGGCTTATTTGCACTTGGTCATTGCCATTCTGGTGATTAAGATTTGCCCAATTCCCTTTTTTTTTTTTTTTTAATTTCACATGTCAAAGAAAATATGGTCATGCATGCTTTTCCTTGGACGGACACATTCTGCATCCCCACAATAAAGATTTGATCAACTTCCTTTTTTTTGTTTGTTTCATACCAAAATAAAAAACCTGGAATGAAGAAAAAAAAAAAAAAAGAATGAGATATCAGCTCGTAAAATCTTAGGAGCTATTTTTGTTGTCATCATTTTAGTTGTCTGAACAAATGTATTCTTTCCATGCATATAAAATCAAGAAAACTGAAGAAACAAGGGTGGTCTAATTTTTTTTCCCCCATGACTGCACAGTCTTCACCGAACCTTTGGTTGTTTGCATTCATTTGACCAATTTCACCCTCAAAGCATCCGTGTGTGCTGATGATAGATTGTTCGGTTGTCGTGACGACGGACGCTGCAGCGAGAGCTGGTGGAGGCCCATATTATCTGAAGAGGTTTATTCAAAAAAGGGGGCGGGGGGAAAGAGAGAAATGGATAGCCTTTCTGTCCAAATGATCTGACGTGTAATGAGCAAACAGTAAGACTGCATCATTCATCGATTTGAAAACTACATTGAAGTTTTTCTTTTGTCATGGTGACTATTTTTATTGCACCTATATTTTTTTTTAGCCACATCCAAAGTCCAAAGCCCGGCCTCACTGATGTGCACTGCTTACATGACCAACATGATTGATGAATGATTTTGAAAAATAATTGCAATCCTACCCCCCCCGCCTTGCAGCAAATCCAAAGAGCACTTATTTGAACACTGTCATTTGTTTTTTGATACAAGCAAATAAGAGAAAACATTAAAAATCATCAATTGCAATTTAGTGAGAAGTGAAAAAAACGTCTGAAATTTTATTTTCAGGCTATATTGACTACCCCTAACATGGATCACATGACAACAGCTAGCATCACAGTTATGGGATAGGACACGAGTACTTGGGCCACATACCCTGTCTGTGATGCGGTCCCGACCCTGCAGCAGCGCGTCAAGTAGGGCCGGGGCCACGTCCTCCAAGTGCAGTGACAGGCAGAGGTCGGCCAGCTCCTCCGGGCACAGTGAGCCACAACCACTAGCGTCGAAGCCATCAAAAACTTCCTTCAGGCGCTCCTCATACTGGTCCTGCTCCAGGACGTCATCCATTCCACAGGACAGCAACCTGCCCTGCCAACGCAAGACAGAGAGAGAGAGAGAGAGAGAGAGAGAGAGAGAGAGAGAAAAAAACAAAACAAAAAAAGCTTATTTTATGGCATATTAGCCGAAAAGTGACTGGTGACAGGTGTAAATAGCTCAAATGTAGAGTCACTACCCAATTGTGGTGGAAAGATACTCACTAAACATAGCGGAAACATCGATCTTTGTTCTGGAGTGCCGCATACACACACACTGATTCAGCCTCATTAGCTGTGCAGGCTTTGGCTAATCCAATTACAACTGATTAGCCACTCTGGCTAATTGAGAGTTGTGGCCAAAATCTGACACTGACAATGACTCTGAACTAGTAGGGCTGGGCGATTAATGAATTTGATTGAATAATGAAGATTTTTTTTGTTTTGTTTTGTGTCTAATGCGTTATGCTGACACGAACAACTGGGCTGTGAACAGAGAAGAGCTAGTTAAGAAAAGCCAGTGGTCAGTGGTGGAAACTTTTAGCGACTATTTAAAAAAAGAAAAAAAGCAACCAACAATCTTAAATCCTGCTAATTAACAGACAACACGGACAGAATCATTGCCATCGTTAATGATGTCATGCGAGATAGTAAAGTGTTTAATTGTTTATGTTGCTTGTTGCCTTTATGAAAAATAACAATCAGAGACAATTTTTAAAAATGTTTTTTTTCTTTAAAGATAACGTGACTTTAAAAAAAAAACGACGACAATCAACACATTGTATACATGCACAGGATCAAGACTATTCCTGCCGGTCCACTTTTCCAGCTGCTCACCATCAAGCACTCTCAACCAGGTGCCTCCCCAACGCACAAGGAGCAGAGGGGGTACCCATTCATTCCACAATGGGGGTTGTCTACAAAGCCGACATCAGTATTCTACATGTGCACCATTGAGTAGCTCTCAGGATGCCAGATAATCACAGATGATGGCCGATTGGAGGCAAGAAGAGTCTTTTTACCTGGAAGACTGACAGCTGGTGCGGGTCAAAAGTAACCCAAAGTAAAGCATTCAACTTATTGCGAAGCCAAAACTGCATGAAAATGCTGTTAACGTCACACTTAAAATGGGTTAATGCCAAGGACATTGTTCGACCAAACTGCTGCATTCAAATGGAATACACCTCGTGTATTTACTTGCTATATTGTGTCAAAGAAAGCGGAAGAGGTTATTAGCTTAGCTTGAGGTCTTACGTTATGCGCTATGCTAGCCAACTCACTTTTTTTTTTAAGACCCTTATAGGCCATTGAACTTCCTGGTTGACTTTTAGTACAGATTTCCAAGCCAAAAAGTGCTACTAAACATTATTTTTGCCTTAAAAATATGAAACTTCTGCCCTTAAAGGCCAACGTACTTCCTGGTTTGGTGACGAATGTACCAAATTAACTTTTTGCTTAAAAAAAAATGTAGTCCCTTAAAAGCCAGTGTAATTCATGGTTGAGAAGCACACGGAAGTAACATTTTGCCAGGAAAAAAAAAATTGATGTAGGTCGTTCATAAATATGTGCATTTGATCTTCCTTTTTTCACCATTGTTTCAACTTTGAACATTGTAATATTCAATCGATAATATTAACTCTACCAATTCACATAATGAAATTGGTACAGCAAAAGGTTTGTCGCTCATTCAGCAGGCATATGGTCCACACAGTCAAAATAACTTGTCGGTTTCAAGTTCTTCAGACGCAAGCAGTGAGAAGTTAACATATTTTATCAGACAGGCCTTGTGTAAACAACATACTACAAAAAGGAACAAGATACCAAATATGGGGCGATCGTTTTATTGAACCTGTGTGTGGATGTGAAAGACCAGACGCGCATTAATTCGACAACTCATCGATTATCATATTAATCGACAGCTATTTTGATTATCCATGAATTGAACTTTAGAACAATGATCAACATTTTGCATTTGCTCACATATTACAAACCAATTCAGGAATTTACTCATATTTTGTGTCTGGGCATATTATGTACTATTTGAAAGAAAGTCTTGTTTTTAAATAAAGGGAACATCATTTTTTTTAAAAATCCGGTGTATTAATCAGTTCACACCCTTAGAAATTATCCTGATATCTTGCCGATTCTATCTATCAAGATACTTTGCCAACTTCAAATTGGCCTGTTCAGTGCGTCTGTTAACACAAGAAGAATAGGGGTGGAGAGTGACCTTTAACTGATAAAATAAATAACCATCCAATTTGCCAGGCAAAATGTTAATTTGCAGGAAGTTATTAGCTCAGCCCCTGTAGTGCAGACATCGTGTGCTTTAAAACTGGCCTTTAAGGAACTGAAGTTGAGCCCCTCGTTTTTTTACTTGTTTCAATCAAACAATTCAACAATCGTACAACACGTATCAGCTCGTTTAAGGAGGCAAAATTCATCACCACTTGACTTTTGTTGCGGTTCTTAAACAAATATGAACAAATAAGACACAGACACTTACCTAATTCTCCAAACTTGAAAAAAACGCCCCTGCGTGTCCAACCGAGGGGTGAAAAAAAAAAAACTCAAACGCTAAAACGAAACTTTTTTTTCTACATGCCCTCCACACAAGGCGCGTCGCGGTTTCATCGATATCAAAACCTTGAAAGTACGATACGATTATGCGTTCGAAATGTAAAAGTGCTTTCAACCGCGAGACAGGATGTGTTTGTCGGCAGGGTTGGGCGGCTATTTGAGAGTGAGTACCATCCTCCTTCGGCGGCGGCTTCTGGAGGATTTTGAAAAGCAGATCATGGAGGAAAAGGCGGAGCCTTGTACGCTCAAGCCAGCCCTGATTGGTCAAAAGTGTACAGTCCAAACAATGAACTCGCCCTCTTTTCCGTGGAAACTTTTTTATACAAGTGCTCCACTTGAGAAATAAAACATAATTTACGCAAAATTTAATCTGGTTTGAAATTAATGTGCAACATGGTACATTAAAATCGAGTTTAAAATCTGTGTTTAAAATCAGAGCTGCCTAACCCGCCTCTTCTGTGCTACTCTTTCTCACTATTGGTTATTGACAACGTCAATCAAAACTATTTCGTCCAATCCGCTTAATCTTTTCTGTCTTGACAGGAAATGCTTCAATTGCGGAGTTTGGTTCCAAACTATTATCCGACGTAATACAGTTTTCAAGAACAATTTGAAGGTACTTATGAAAAATATGTTTTATCCTTTTAAACATTACTACTAGGGTGCTAGAAATGTTAAATGGCATTCATGTTGAATTTTCTCAGCGCTTTAAAAATCTGCCTACAAGTTACTTTCACCTTGTTTCGTTTTTATGCGGTAAAATGGGTGCAAAACATTGCTGCTTGGGGGGTCACCATGTCAGCTTTAAAATAGCTGAGTAAATATATAGTGGCTAAAAGAAAATTTCCCATCATGCCTTTTGGTATGAACGAATAAATACATAAATAAACAAACAAATAAACGAACATAATCCCAACTCATCTTTATTTATTTATACAGCACCTTCACAACAGCTGAGACAAAGCGCTTTACAGCATTAACAATAATACAATACTGTTTACTTGTACTTGTATCTCGCTCTCTTTTACTCCCCCTACGAAAATTCCAGGTGTAAACTTGATCAAGCTGGTGGACGCAATGAAGGTAATATCCTTCCTGGTGCTTGTCTATGTGACAGTGCCATTCACCATCTACCTGTGCCCTTGGATACTGGATTATGCCATTTTTGCTCACTTGCGTAAGGACAATTTCCAACTTCATATCTATTAGCGATTTGATTTATTTTATTGTTTTTGTATGAATTATTTTTGTTCCATGTACAGCACTTTGTAGACAGCAGTGGTTGTTTTCAAGTGCTCTACAAAGACAGTTGGGTTGAGTTAGTCCACTGCTAATAACAAAAATGCTAACCTTGTGCACTGTCATCTGTAGTGAGGCTTCCATATTTGGTGGATCTCAACCATCCAGAATACGTGCTTAACCACACGTGCAACTTCTACCTGGACCCGGAGGAGGGCGTCCGTGTGGGTGTATGGTAGCTACCAGTATCTCTTTCAGAGTAGCAATACTCTTTAAAAAATAAATAAAAAAAGCTCTGCACCTTCTGAAATTGTTTGTTTGCGTCTCCCTGAGGCACACGCTCCCTGCCAGCCAATGGGATGAGGCGGCAGGGAGAGGCCCCGACTGGTACCGCAAGGCTCTGGGAGATGGAAGTCCTGTTATCATCTATCTCCATGGTAACGTGGGCACCAGGTAACCGTAGAGGCACTTCGATGCCCCTTAAATGAGCCCGGAGGGAATTCCACAGGGTTTATGCACAGGTGACTCTGAAATCTGTTTGTTTTCAGGGCCAAAAATCACAGGGTGCAACTGGCAAAGGTTAGTTTTGAAATGAATCATTCACATTTTTGTAAGATTTCAGCTAATTTATGAATGAAATTTTGCAGATTTTAAGCTCCGCAGGGTTCCACGTCCTGTCTTTGGACTACAGAGGTATGATCAGATTCATGATTTTACATCTTGCCCCATATTCAGGTACTGTATCTGATGAGAACTGCTAAAATGTTAGCATGCTAACCTTTGCTATGCTAACGTATAGCAAGCTAGCAACCTGAGTTGGCCTAATGAAAGCACCTCGGAACGCTAACATGCTCAGAGTTGCTATCTTAACATTTCAATAGCAAGATTGCAAAGTGAGTCACAAGGACTCAAGACAGATCGATAACAAAACGACTTTTTAATTAATCGTCAATTTCCATGACTTCCTTATGGGAAACGGATTTTGTGCGATGTAGGCTTCGGCGATTCGACAGGGGAGCCGAGCGAACGCGGGATGACCACAGACGCCTTCCACCTGTACACATGGGTGAAGCAGCACAGTGGGGGGTCTCTGGTGTGTCTGTGGGGGCACTCACTCGGTTCCGGGTAAGTTTCTCCTCGAAAATGTTTTCATGGTGTAAGTGGCTCGAAGGGAGTTATCGTTTTTTGTTTTTCTTGAAGGGTTGCGAGCAACACCGCCGTAAAGGTGCAAGAGCAAGGTGGGTTGTGTGGGTTTTCAGTCATCATTTGACATCAAGTACTACCGAAAAAATACTCAGCCACTGAATCATGCAGTTTGGATGCATAAATATCGGAAGAAGGCACAAAAGATAAGAAAATTACAAAAGTTTAGAGCTCATTTCACTCTTCATAAAAGAAGCTACAAAGTACTGTATATACAGGTGTTTTAT